GGTATAATGTTATTCAAAGAAGTAACTGTTTCTGGATTGTATGTTCCATTTCTGAATTTTCAGTAACTGGAATGAGATTGCTGTTTCTCATTCTGGCATAAGATCTAATCTGCTACATAAATGTAATCTAGGCCTAGTGCGGTGGCTCACTCCTGTAATCCTAGTTCTGTGGGAGACCGAGGCGGGGCGGATCGTTTGAGTTCAGGAGTTTGAAACCAACTGAGCAGAGCGGAGACCCGTCTGTATATATGGCCAACTAATATATTAGAACAATATATATAGAACTAATGGCCAACTAATATATATAGAACTAATGTATATCGTAATATATATAGAAAAAATTAGCCAGGCATGGTGGCGCATGCTGTAGTCCTAGCTATTTGAGAGCTGAGGCAGCAGGATCACTTGAGCCCAGGAGTTTGAGGTTGCTGTGAGCTAGGCTGACGCCACGGCACGGCACTCACGGTAGCCTGGGCAACAAAGTGAGACTCTGTCTCAAAAAAAAAAAAAAAAAAAATGTAATCTAACTGGACTGTAAGCATACTGAGAGCAGTAAAAAATACCTACTTTTATATTTTCATTGTCTTGTTCCATGGTGCTCCTAATCCTTATATCCTTTACTTGTAGAAAACTCTATTTAAGGTATAGCTAAAATGTCACCCTTTTTTGGCCTTTCATGTCACATATGATCTGAATAATTATTTCTTCATTTATATTCTGTAGTAAATTTCATATATTTTTCAATTTATTTATACTATTAATTTTAGAATTGTTCTTTTACAATATTTTATAAAATATTTATCTATTTGTCCCAGTAACTGTGAGCTCCTTGGCATATACATGGACTATATCTTGAATCAGGATTTAACTATTGTCTGGCTCAGCACAACTGCTCAGTATGAATACATAACTTAGGTTTTTTTTAATTTTTTTTTTGAGAAGATTCTCGCTTTGTTGCCTAGGCTAGAGTGGAGTGCCGTGGCATCAGCTCGGCTCAGCACTCAAAAATCCTCGGTCAGCATCCTTCTGCCTCAGCCTCCCAAGTAGCTAGGACTACAGGCATGCGCCACCATGCCCGGTTAATTTTTTGTATATATATTTTTAGTTGGTCAGTTAATTTCTTTCTATTTATAGTAGAGACGGGGTCTCGCTCTTGGCTCAGGCTGGTTTTGAACTCCTGACCTCGAGCAATCCACCCGCCTCGGCCTCCCAGAGTGCTAGGATTACAGGCATGAGCCACCACGCTCGGCTAAAACTTAGTTTTTTAAAATGCTGTAAAGGCAAGAAAATACAGAAAACAAGGCAGTCTAGAGGTGCTAAGTATGGAAGATGACAAGGTATTGAGTTGTGTATTACAGTATAGCATAATATCAGGTGTTCCTCATTGTAATTTCCCATTATGTTTACTGTTATCTTTTATGGAAGCCAAGATATTTGTGCAGGACTACCTTAGAGATATAGAGATACTGATTCAGTTCCAGACTACTTCAATAAAGCACAAATCTCAATAAAGCACGTCAGGTGAACTGGTTGGTTTCCCAGTGCATGTAGAAGTTATGCTTACCTTACACTATAGTCTATTAAGTGCAGTAGCATTGTTTCTAAAAATAAAAAAAAAGTACATACCTTAATTTAAAATACTTTATTGCTAAAAAATGCTAACAACCATCTGAACTTTTAGTGAGTCCTAATCTTTTTGCTGGTGAGTCTTGCCTCATTGTTTTTTTGTTTTTTGGTGTCCTTAGGTGGGCACGTTGCCTCATTGTTGATGGTTTCTGACTCATCAGGGCAGTGGTTGCTAAAGGTTGGGGTGGCTGTGGCAATTTCTTAAAATATAACAGTGAAGTTTGCTGCATTGAATGACTCTTCACAAAAGATTTCTCTGTAGCATGCAATGGTTTGATAGCATTTTACCCACAGGAGATCTTTCAAAGTTAGAGTGAGTCCTCTCAAACCCTGCTGCTGCATTAGCAATTAAGTTTGTATAACATTCTAAATCCTTTGTTGTCATTTCAGCAATGTTCATAGCATCTTCAACAGGAATAGATTCCATCTCAAGAAACCATTTCTTTGCTCATTATAAGAAGCAGCTCCACATCCATTCAAGTTTTATCATGAGTTTGCAGCAATTCAGTCACATGTTCAGACAGACTCCAGTTCTAATTCTAGTTCTCTTGCTATTTCTACTACATCTGTAGTTACTTCTTCCATTAAAGTCTTGAACCCCTCAAAGTCATCTAAGACAATTGAAACAAACTTCTTCCAAACTACTGTTAATGTTGATATTTGTACCTCCTCCCATGAATCATGAATGTTCTTAATGACATTGTGAATGGTGAATCCTTTTCAGGTTTTCAATTTACTTTGCCCAGATCCATCAGAGGAATCACTGTCTATGCATCTATCACCTTATAAAATGTATTTCTTAAATAATAAGACTTGAAAGTTGGAATTACTCCTTGATCCATGGGGTGCAGAATGGATGTTGTGTTAGCAGGCATGAACCCAACTTTAATCTCCTTATACATCTCCATCAGAACTCTTGGGTGGGTAATCAGGTACATTGCCAGTGAGCAGTAATATTTTGAGTGGAATCTTTTTTCTGAGCAGGAGGTCACAATAGTGTGCTTAAAATACTCAACCTTGCTGTAAACAGATGTGTTGTCATCCAGGTTTTGTTGTTCCATTATAGAGCACAGGCAGAGTAGATTTAGCATAATTCTTAACCAATTCGATACCAGCATCGACTATACTAGATAGCCATAGGTGAACGCACACAGCCGAGCGTCGACTATAGTTGATAGCCACAGATGAACACGCACAGCGACTTTAGCCGACAGCCATGATATGACTTTTCTAATTTTTCATTTATCAAAATAAAATTGTGAACATTTAAAAATAACATAAGAAAACATATATGTATATGTTACCTATTCTGATTTACATTACAAGTAAAGCTGCCTGTAAAGCAAAACAGGCTTTCAGTGCTTTAAAGCTTTCCTCATTACACAAGAGCAAAACAGATTTGTCATCAATGCACAGCATAAACTATGGTGTGGACTAAGTGCTAGCTGCGGGCAAGGTTTTGCGGCTGGTGAGCGCGGTACCTAAGTGGTTAAGGGCCCTGGGATTTTCGTGTGGTAAATGAGCATTGGCTTCAAGTTAAAGTCACCAGCTACATTAGCCTCTAATAAGAGAGCCTGTCTTTTGAAGCTTTAAAGACTTCTCTACCTATGAAAGTCCTGGATGGCATCTTCTAATATATGGCTTGTATATTTAAGGCTAAATACAATTTTTCTCTTACATTGAAAGATCTATTTGGTATAGCCACTTTGATCAATGATCTTAGCTGTATCATCTGGATAAACTTGCTGCAGCTTCTACATCAGCGCTTGCTGCCTCACCTTGCAGTTTTATGTTATGGAGATGACCTCTTTCCTTAAACTTCATGAGCTAACCTCTGCTGGCTTTAAACTTTTCTTCTACTGCCGTCTCATCTCTCTCAGCCTTCATAGAATTGAAGAGCATTAGGGCTTTGCTGTGGATTAGGCTTTGGCTTAAGGGAATGTTGTAGCTGATTTGATCTTCTATCCAGACCACTAAAAATTTCTCCATTATCAGCAATAAGACTTTTGCTTTCTTATCATTTGTGTCTTCACCGGAATAGCCCTTTAATTTCCTCCAAGACCTTTCCTTTCCATTTACAATTTGATTAATTTACATAAGAGGCCCAGCCTACCTGCAGCCTGTTTTGGCTTTCAATATGCCCTCATCACTAAGCTTAATCATTTCTAGCTTTTGATTTAAAGTGAGAGATGTGGGACTCTTCCTTTCACTTGAATACTTAGTGGCCGTTGTCAGGTTATTATTTGGCGTACTTTTAATCTTGTTGTGTCTCAGCTAATCAGGAAGCCCAAGGAGAGGGAGAGAGACAGGAATGGCTAGTTGGTGGAGCAGTCAGAATACACAGAATGCTTATCAGTTACATCATCATCTTATATGGGCATGGTTTGTGGTGACCTAAAACAATTACAACAGTAATATCAAAGATCACTGATCACAGATCATGACAACAGATATAATAATAATAATGAAAAAGTTTGAAATATTGCAGGAATTACCAAAATGTGACACGGAGACAAAAAGTAAGCAAACGCTTTTAGAAAAATGGCACCAATAGACTTGCTTGATGCAGGGTTGCCATATACCTTAAATTTGTTGAAAAACACATATTTGTGAAGTGCAATAAAATGAGGTATGCCTATAGTATTTTCTTAAAGTATTAGTGTAAGTTAAGATGTAGGAATGACTATAGCAGTTTATGAAGTATGTGGGTATATACTCATGGGAGATACTGTTTAGAAAATCTCAGAAATTTGAAAAATTGGTTTTTAAAATGGTTCCACTTAAACTCTCTGGTAAACTACTTAGAAAGAATGGTTTGGTGGTGGGATTGGGGTTGAAGTGGTAGGGAGCCTTAATAATTAGGGTTTTAATCTTCATAGCCTTTGCTACTAATGCTTATGAATAAATGTTAGATTTTTATATAGCCATGCTAGAGTATATACTGTATAGTTTAAAATGTATGTTTACTTTTAAAAGATACTATATTATACTTGAAATACTTAAAAACCAGTATTATTTTTAAAGAATGTTTTGAAAATACAGATAATTTTAAAGAAGAAAATTAAAATCTCCTATAATCCTACCTGTAAAGTTAATGAATGCTAACCATTTGATGTATTTCCTTTTAATTTTTGAAACATACTAATTCTCACAACAGTTTTAAGTAGGTGGTATATTAATTCCATTTTATAGAAAAGAGCCTAAGGATCAAAGCAACTTATAAGTATATCCAAGAAAACCCAGGTTTTTAAATTTAAATTTCAGTGCCTTTTCCCTACAGCATAATTACCTTTGTTCTCTATGGTTATTTTAGCTCACAAAAAAAAAGCAATGAATTATACTGTGTCTTATTTTATCATTGTTCTTATTTTTAGAGACATTTTAAATCCAAAGGATGTGATCAGTGCCCAGTTTGAAAATACTACCACTAGTAAAGATTTTTGCAGTCAGTCATGTTTGTCAACGTATGAACTGAAAAAAAAGCCTATTGTTACCATAAATACGAATAGCATTTCAACCAAATGCAGCATGTGTCAGAAGAATGCTGTTGTAAGTTACCTTTTTACTTTATTGTGGGGAGGAGTCTAATGTTCATGCTTAAAATACAGCTTTTGATGTTCTCTGCTTGTTGTTTCTATGTTGTTGTTTTTTAATCCTAGATTCGACATGAAGTTAATTACCAGAATGTGGTACATAAACTTTGCAGTGATGCCTGCTTCTCTAAGTTTCGTTCTGCTAACAACCTCACCATGAACTGTTGTGAGAACTGTGGGGGTTATTGTTATAGTGGTTCTGGACAATGCCACATGCTTCAGATAGAGGGACAGTCTAAGAAGTTTTGTAGTTCAACATGTATCACAGCATACAAGCAGGTATATGACCATATTTAATCTTTTGTTCATTGGGGGGGGATGTCTAAATTTTTTAGTGGGAATTACTCATGAAAATGTTTTTTCTAAATTATTTGCTTAACTCATACTCTTTACATATAAATAGTATTTGTCAAGTGAATACATGTGTCAAGTACTTTTGTAGAGTTCTGTAAGTAGCAGTTTTCATATATTTGTTCATGCATTTGAAATTTTTATTTCAAATGTGATTTATATTTTTGAATACTATATTGAAAATGCAAAAAATAGTAGTGTCTCTCTCAGAGATACCCAGTCCTTTTCTTCTGATGTGTAGCTTTCTAATCTTTGAAATAACATTTTGCATTTGCATATATGCTTTTTATTTGGCATGGAAAGGTCCAAGTTGCATATGTATTCTTGAAATTGGATCCACATAATTAAAATTTCAAACCAGAACATCAAAATCCTAACATTAATTGTAATAGTAACAGGCTTTTCCTTACCTTCATGATATAGGAGAAAATAGATGTGGGTTGTATATTATTTTGTGAATTAATGATGTTTACAGAGTATGAACAGAATGAATGCTGTACAACAAATATTTTTATATAGTTCTGTGTAAATTAGATATATGTTTTATAGTAAATTTTGATCAAATGTTAGTTTTAAAATTGATAAACCTAAATGAATAGTAAGTACTTTTTACGTTTTTAATTTTACAGTTCCCTGTTGCAGTGCATTTGCTGATCATTCTCTTTCTTAGAATAGTGGATTTTTATTTTTTTAAAAAGAAAAAATATTTATTTGGCAAAAAAACATAGTCAGTTATATGAAATAGTGTATTTTTATACAGTCCACCAAAATTGGTGAATTTAATAGTGTCAATTGGAAATCTTCTAATTAATCATTCTTAAAACTTTATAGTAATTTTGGCATTTCAGCATTATAGAATGTTTCAATTTATTTCTTCTTGATGTAAAAGCACATTAAAGGATCTTAGCTTTACTATTTATTATCTTATTTGTGCTCTCATAGGGAAAAAAAATCCTAGTATCTTCATGTGTATTTCTTTGTCCAAAAGACTTTTCTTTTCCCATACTGTATCAGGTACTAAAAGTTACTTGGAGTCAGTTCATTGAAAGATGATTCACAGTCCACAAAATAAGGAGAAATAGAATGAAAAATCTTAATTTTTAACTTATTCATTACTTTTTCCCCCTTTTTTTTTGAGAACAAGGTCTTGCTGTATTGCCTGGGCTAGAGTGCAGTGGTGTTATCATAGTTCACTGCAACCTCAAACTTCTGGGCTCAGGCAATCTTCCTGCCTCAGCCTCCGGAGTAGCAGAGACTACAGGCATGCACCACCATGCCTGGCTAATTTTTAAAAAATACTTTTTGTAGAGACAATGTCTCTCTATATTGACCAGGCTCATCTGGAACTCCTGGTCTTAAGCGATCCTCCTGCCTTGGTGTCCCAAAATGCTGAGATTACAGGTGTGAGCGACTGTGCCCAGCCAATTCATTACTTTTAATTTAGCCCAAATTTATTAAGTTTCTCATGTATTATATTAATATGTACCTTGGCAGAGAAAGAATTAGAATTTAGAAGTAAGGCAGATCTGGATTTGATTCCAGACCTTCTGTTCAAATATGATTTTACCTCGGGCAAAGCAGTTAATCTCCCTGAGTCCCAGTTTTCCCATGTGTAAATGGCTGTAATACCACTCACGTCACTGGGAGGGATGGTTTTAGGCTTATATAAAGTAAGAATGAGAGCGCACCTAATATGGAATCTGGCATGTTGTAGATGGTCATTTCTGCTCCTTTTCTTTTGTCCTTATATATAATTCATTCAACAAACATTAGATGTAATTCCTGTTTTCAGGAGAAAAACAGTTTATGTCTCCTTGAGAAAATAGACATATAAACAAGTAAACAGCAATGCCATGATCAAAGTCTTAGGTGGTACAGTGGCCCATAGAGGAAGCATTGTCAGCTCTACTTGATAGGGAAAGATGAGACTATCAGCAAAAGCTTCACAGATGTAACTCTTGACCAGTCTTAAAAATGAAGTTGGTGTTTGCAGACCTTATCAGGGAGGAAAAGGATATGGGGTTGGAGATTTAGAAGACATTCCAGAATTCAGGAATATGTTTACTTTAATACGTCCTTTATGAGGGAGGAGACATTTTAAAATCTCCTAATTGGTGCTAGATGTACTTTTTAAGTTATCCTGAATGTGTGACATGTTAATTAATAATATTTAGCATTTTTTGCTGCAGAATCCCTAATTGTGTGCAGATTTAACAGATTCTTTGTTTATATTTGGACACTTGTAATATCCAAGGTTTGCTCCCACTTTATTGCTGTAGAGGACTCTTTTATTATTGGGAGAATACCTGACAATTAGCTTTTTAGTATGTTTATCAGTTTCCTTAAAGTCACATTTTATTGTTATATACAGCACCTTTGGGTGGTTCTTCCAATTTTTAGGATAGTATAGTATAAGGGCATGAACTCCCTGCTGTGTTATAAAAAATTTTAAACTATGAGTAGAGTATGGTGGCTCATGCCTGTAATCCCAGCACTTTGGGAGACCGAGGTGGCAGGATTGCCTGAGGCCAGGAGTTCATGACCAGCCTGGCAACAGAATAAGACACCCCTCCCCCAATCTCTACAAAATGTAAAGAAAATTAGCTGGGCATGGTGGTGCATGCCTGTAGTCCTAACTACTTGGGAGTCTAAGGCAGAAGTATCCCTTGAGACCAGGGGTTTGAGGTTGCAGTAGGCTATGATTGTGCCACTTCACTTCAGTCTGGGTGACAGAGTGAGACCCTATCTCTAACAAAAGAAAAAGTAATGTTTAAAAAACAAAAGATGATGAAACTATGGTTACAACCAAAATTAATTCTTAGGTTATAACTAGCATAATTTGTAATGAAATAGAATAAAATGGAAAATATCAAAGTGCATCACATGTTGTCATGAAATATATTGCTCTGTAATACTTTTTTCAGTTTTACATACATATATATTACACAAATGCAAAATCATCAGAGAGTGTGTTTAATGGGTCACTTTGTAAAATTTATTTCTCACTGAGAATTGTAATCTTAAAAGTTTGAAACACACTGATTTAAAGTATTTCAACAGCATTTAATATAAACATTTCAAAGAATTATGCTTTTACTAGGAATTTGGTAAAAATGAATGTTGTTTTATTCTCTCAATAGAAATCAGCCAAAATTACACCATGTGCGCTTTGCAAATCATTGAGATCCTCAGCAGAAATGATTGAAAATACCAATAGCTTGGGGAAAACAGAGCTTTTCTGTTCTGTTAATTGTTTATCCGCTTACAGAGTTAAAATGGTTACTTCTGCAGGTAATATTGGTTTCATAAACTATGAAATGTAATAATTGAACGAATTAGGGTTATTACTTTGTTTTTATGGTATGAATTATTCTCCAAATTTAGTTGATTTTTAAAGGCAAATGTTAAATATTTCAGATTTTTGTTATAAAATATCACCCATTACCTTGATTACTTATTTACTTATATGTGTATTTATTCATTAAACCCTTACCGCTGGAATTTCATATGGCTTCTTTAACGTATTTTCTTTATTTGCGCCTGATTTATTTTAAGAGTCATTTATTTTGTAGTTTCAGGGTGGACTGTGACTACTTTTAATTAAAAAGTTTTTAATGTTATTTTTTGTCTATGTGTGACATGAGTGAGATGATTGAGGTTAGTTTCAGTTCCTGCAACTTAATCTGGCCCTTGAATTTTTGTATATTGTATTATTATTTCTCATATTTGTGTACATTTGTATATATTACTTATTAGTTTTTATTTTGATTTGCTAAGGTGTACAAGTTCAGTGTAACAGTTGTAAAACCTCAGCAATCCCTCAGTATCACCTAGCCATGTCAGATGGAAGTATACGCAACTTCTGCAGCTACAGTTGTGTAGTAGCTTTCCAGGTATGGCTTCAGAAATCTTCCTCTTCTTCAGTCAGTAAGACACCTACTATAGTAATGTGAACTTATTAGGTGTTTACTAGTGCCTGGATTGTCTGAGTTTCTGTTTCAGTTCTATTAAACTTGCATTCTTAGTTCATCCTGTATTTGGAGGTATGTCATTTAACTACCTTCTATAAAATTAAATAGTACTATTATCACCCAGATTATCTATTGGGAGGGTATTATTTTTAAAGATTATTAGTGAAATTATTTTATTTGGTCATAGTGAGACTTCCCCCTTGTCAGTTATAAGTTGCTCAAAGGCAGGAATTTTTGCCTATTCACAGACATACATGTGTTCTTATATGCATAGAACTGTACTTGGTATATACAAGCACGTGATACTTATTTGTCTGAACAAATGATTTAAATTTTTTTTTTTCTGTTTCGTTTTTTTCCAGAATTTATTCAGCAAACCAACCGGAATGAATTCTTCAGTAGTGCCCCTGTCTCAGGGCCAAGTAATTGTAAGCATCCCCACAGGTTCAACGGTATCAGCAGGAGGAGGCAATACCTCTGCTGTTTCTCCCACTTCTATCAGTAGCTCTGCTGCAGCTGGTCTCCAGCGCCTTGCAGCCCAGTCCCAGCATGTTGGGTTTGCACGAAGTGTGGTAAAAATCAAGTGTCAACACTGTAACCGTCTTTTTGCCACAAAACCAGAACTTCTTGACTATAAGGTAAAGTATGGGTTCATGAAAAGGGTTTGAGTCCATCTGTAAAATTATTTTTAGCTTTTTGTCTCTCAAAATTATGCCATTTGTTTTGAAAGTAACAGGAATGAGGATTTCCATAAGGCAAACCAAATGTTTAATTAGTACTTAATGATTATTTCTTTGCAGGGTAAAATGTTTCAGTTCTGTGGCAAGAATTGTTCTGACGAATATAAGAAAATAAATAATGTAATGGCAATGTGTGAATATTGTAAAATTGAGAAAATTGTAAAGGAGACTGTGCGATTCTCAGGTGCTGACAAGTCATTCTGTAGTGAAGGTAAAGATAGAAGATTATTTTACTGAGCATGTTGGTTATTTTAAAATTAGTTGATGATTCAAGGTGTTACTATGTAAGTTTATTATTTTATCCTTTATGCATCACGCCAAATTTGTTTATACTTAGTTCATTCTTTTTTGATCTAGTCTTTTGCATTATATAGATATTAAAATCAAGTGAAAGATCCTCAGTATAATGCAGAAGGTGATGTATTTAACATTTGTTAGGTAGATGGGGAACTCAAAGATCTTTTAAGTTCTTGTACTTATTTCTGAATGGAATGCCTTAAATTATAGTGGCATCCTAAGTTTATATTTTAATTTTTTTATACAGCCATTGTGTTTCTGAATATATATTATCTGAATATGCAGATTAGTATGAGGTAGATTGTTTTCTTTATTTAGATTACTATTTTAGTCAGTCATTTAGAATGTTTTGCTTTACTCTAAAACTACACAAGGTTAGCCTTTTAGACTAGTGGCTTTCAAACCTTTTGACCACTGCATAAAACAAGAAATGCATTTTACATTGTGACCCAGTATATTTTCACATACTCAAATAAAACAAAAGTGTCATTACAGTAAACTTATTATATGTGATGCAATTTAATATTTTCTACTTTGTCCTATCCTGTATTATTTCATTAAAAGAAAAAGTGCCAGTTTTGAACCTCTAAATTAATCTCTTGATCTGCTAATTGTTCAGGACCCAAGTGTAAAAACTTTGTTCTAGGTCATTTAAATTAAAGATGTAGATAATTAATATTTTTTCCCTAATGTTAAATTTATCTTTCCTGATTTTTAGGTTGCAAATTGCTTTATAAACATGAGTTGGTAAAACACTGGGGAAATCACTGTAAAATGTGCAGTTATTGTTTACAGACATCTCCCAAATTGGTACAGAACAATTTGGGGGGGAAGGTGGAGGAATTCTGTTGTGAAGAATGCATGTCCAAATACACAGTTTTGTTCTATCAGGTAAATATAATTCACATTCCTGAGTTTTTGAGTTAAGGCATAAATTATTCCCTTTTTAAATTTCCTGTCGTATGAAGGACAATTTAATGATTTAAAACTTTTAAGTATTTGTTTTATACTCTAGCAATTAATGTAAGATTTAGGAAGACTTTAATGTCATTGAAATTTTATTCTTTTTGCTTTGATTTTCATAGGAGACGTATCAGTCTTAACACATCAAAATATTTAAAATTTTTAAAATTTATTATTTAAATAATATGAATTTGTCTTCTGAAGTCTGAGGAAGATAGACCTTATTTTCACTTCACTTTGTTTATTTCTGTCTGTCTGTCTTTTTTTTTGTGAGACAGAGTCTCACTCTGTTGCCCGAGCTAGAGTGCCATGGCGTCAGCGTAGCTCACAGCAACCTCAAACTCCTGGGGTCAAGCAATCCTTCTGCCTCAGCCTCCCAAGTAGCTGAGATCACAAGCATGTGCCACCATGCCTGGCTAATTTTTTCTACATATTTTTAGTTGGCCAATTAATTTCTTTCTATTTTTAGTAGAGATGAGGTATCGCTCTTTCTCAGGCTGGCCTCCAGAGCTAGGATTATAGACGTGAGCCACTGCACCCAGTCCACTTTGTTTCTTAATTGTGATTTATTGGGGTCTCTATAATATTTACATGATTTTTAAAAATTATTTAATATAAAATCATTAATAGATAAATATTTACCATTTTAAGATAGTCAGCCTTTAATTTTATGATCTAAATTCTAAGTTAATATCCTCATTTGTTTTGAGTGTCCTGTTTTTATCTGTCAGACCACAGATAATTTGTTTCTCACGCCTTTACTATATATATATATTTTTTCAGATGGCCAAATGTGATGGTTGTAAACGGCAGGGTAAACTCAATGAGTCCTTGAAATGGCGAGGGGAAATGAAACACTTTTGTAACCTACTTTGTATCTTGATGTTCTGTAATCAGCAAAGTGTATGTGACCCACCTTCACAAAACAGTGCAGGTAAAATTAAACTTAAGTAATGAATGGAGTCTTTTGTGAATACCAGGAACTCTAACTACTGTTCTACAGATCAGGAACTATAAACAGTTGTCAGTAATTTTATGAAACATCAATTTCCTTTTGTTCAAATGGCATTTATATTTAGATCCTTTTTAATTGAGCAGCTAAGATTAAAGTCGTGTGAAAATGAGGTTTCTCTTGAGCATATTGAATCAAACTCTGTAGGAACTTTATGGAAAAGGATAACAGTTAAATGTTTTGTAATTGGGTGTAATTGGCTTCCTTATAAAAGACTGAGACTACTTATAATAACAAAGGATATGAAGTCTAAATGATATAGCCTTTTAAATATACCACATGTGTAGTTAGGCCATTTAATCTCAGAAACTTTATGGTTTAAAAATAAAACTAGTACCATCCTAAAAGCTAGAATACTTTTAAGTGTAGTCTTTTTACAAATAGAAGCAAGATCTACAAGAGCCTACTCCAGAAACTTTAAAGAATCCTCTCTATATGAAGGTAAGATTTAAGAAACACATTAGGCTTGAAATGTCCATTAAATCTGCCTTGTTTCTTTTTTTTTTTTTTTTTTTTTTGAGACAGAGTCTCACTTTGTTGTCCAGGCTAGAGTGAGTGCCGTGGCGTCAGCCTAGCTCACAGCAACCTCAAACTCCTGGGCTAGAGTGATCCTTCTGCCTCAGCCTCCCGAGTAGCTGGGACTACAGGCATGCGCCACTATGGCCGGCTATTTATATATATATCAGTTGGCCATTAATTTCTTTCTATTTATAGTAGAGACGGGGTCTCACTCTTGCTCAGGCTGGTTTTGAACTCCTGACCTTGAGCAATCCACCCGCCTCGGCCTCCCAAGAGCTAGGATTACAGGCGTGAGCCACAGCGCCCGGCCTGCCTTGTGTTCTTCATTGGGATTGTACCTTTGGAGATTTTTGTTTGTTGGTTTTTAAGTGGGACTATTTGTTGCAATTTTACACAAAGATGGAGTACATGGAAGATTTTCAAGTTTCACTGATTATAAAAAAAAAAAAAAATAGAAAACCCCAGTTAATCCTGAAGCAACTTTTTGCTCCAGCAGAAATTACTCAAACCTAAAAGCATTGTTTAACTTCCTTGAGATGTAGATTTCTGTTTATGTGCATATAAATTACTTGAGGTTTCTTTATTTTTGTTTATTTTAATCAGCAAGTGTTTCCATGGCTCAAGCTGCTTCAGCAGGGCCCCCATCTCTGAGAAAAGATTCAACCCCAGTTATAGCTAATGTAGTATCATTGGCAAGTGCTCCTGCTGCTCAGCCCACAGTGAATTCTAACAGTGTCTTACAAGGTATGGCTTGATTTGAAGCATTTAGCTAGCCTTTTTGAGTTGAATACAGTGGTTTTCTTTTTTCCATCAGTTTTTATTTTCTTATGTTTTATACATTCATAATAGGACTGGTGGTGCACTGCAGACTGCTAGGGCATTGAATAGTGTTTTCACAAGTTCTGTATGTCTTTTTCTCATATTTTAGTATTATTAGTCTCTTTCATTGAATTAAATTAAGATAATACTTGTTCTTAATATGAGGCTTTGTGTTTATGGACTGATAATCAGCTTTTAATGCTAATGTTTAAATAATTATAAAATATCCTAAATATATGTTTTAATTTATATCAAGGTGCAGTTCCAACAGTAACAGCAAAAATCATTGGAGATGTAAGTTTTATTTTTATTGGTATTGTCACTGTATTTCTTTTTAATTTTTATGCAGTATGAATGTCTGAGTTAATTTGCCCACTTTTATTCTTTACTATATAAAATTCCATGAACTCATTTAATCTTTTTTCAGGAATAGGATTTTCTAGTTATTTATTTATTTTATTTTATTTTATTTTTTTTGAGACAGAGTCTCGCTTTGTTGTCCAGGCTAGAGTGAGTGCCGTGGCGTCAGCCTAGCTCACAGCAACCTCAAACTCCTGGGCTCAAATGATCCTTCTGCCTCAGCCTCCCGAGTAGCTGGGACTACAGGCATGCACCACCATGCCCGGCTAATTTTTTTTCTATATATTTTTAGTTGGCCAATTAATTTCTTTCTATTTTTAGTAGAGACAGGGGGTCTCACTCTTGCTCAGGCTGGTTTCAAACTCCTGACCTAGAGCGATCTGCCCACCTTGGCCTCCCAGAGTGCTAGGATTACAGGCGTGAGCCATCACGCCAGGCCTCTCTCTTTGTTTTTTAACTTATGAATATTTTCTTCTTTGTCTCTTGAAAGAAAAAAGTAAATAATGAGAAAAACTTATGACTGGAACAGTGGCATTTCTAAAGTGTTTCCTGGTCTCTAGGATAATTTTCACATCATCTGTATTCAAGTTACTTAAATGATCATAAGTTGATTCTGTTATTCCTAGTTGTCTTGGAACTAAGTTCTCTCAGACTTAATCAAGAAGTAAGAGTTCTCATTTTATTTTATTTTGTTTATTTTTGGTGGGGTGGAGGTGGGGGGTGGGGGGGAAATAGGCTCTATTGCCCAGGCTCTAGAGTGCCATTATAGCTCATTGAAGCCTCAAACTCCAGACTCAAGCGATCCTTCTGCCTCAGCCTCCCAAGTAGCTAGGACTATAGGTGTGTACCACCATGCCCAACTAAGGTTTTTATTTTTTGAGATGGAGTCTTGCTCTTGCTCAAACTGATCTTGAACTCCTGGCTTCAAGCAATCCTCCCATCTCAGCCTCCCAAAGTGCTATGATTACAGGCTTAAGCCACCTCGTCCAGCCAAGAGTTTCATTTTAAACTCGGCCAACGATATGTCACAATAGAAATAGCGTTTTTCTTGGTAAACATAAATAGTAATTAGATGCATTCAGAGTACATAGTTATTAAAATACTCCATTGCTATTAATATTTCAGGAATATTGTATTTCTCACATATTTAGTTGAATGCTTGTTATAGCTCTCCCATTATTCCAGTATGGTATTTATTTTTAAATTATATTTCTTATAATTAATAAGATTTAAAAAATCTCTTTGATTTCTAATTTCTTTTTACTAGGCAAGTACACAAACAGATGCCCTGAAACTACCACCTTCCCAACCTCCAAGGCTTTTGAAGAACAAAGCTTTATTATGCAAACCCATCACACAGACTAAAGCCACCTCTTGCAAACCACATACCCAAAACAAAGAATGCCAGACAGGTATGTTCCTTGATCTTTCTTTTTTTGTTTGTTTCTTAGTGGAAAGGAATGTGGGATTTGCTTACATTGAGTATCCCATATTTCCTAGGTGATGTGTTTGGTTGCTTGCATATATTACCCAATTTAGTACTGGTGACATCCCTGTGAGTTAGGTATTTTCCCCATCTGATACTTGACAAATTAAGTCAAAGAGAAGGAAGTTAATTGATGATACCATACTCTGAACACTTCATTTAATTCCTTTATTAATGACACCTGTAATATTATGGAGCAAGCCTAAGCTTTATAATTATATTGACAGGCTCTTAAAGTGGCTCTATTGTTTTCCAAAGTGCCCTTAGGTTTGAACTACTCTACACTGTGTTTCAAATAAAGGCAGTTACTTTGAGGAGAGCTTCAGAGTTTTCTTTCCTTATGAATGGCCTCTCAGGCAGAATCCTGAGCCACATGTCTGAATGCTGGGCAGGGTGGTAGTCTCTGGTGTTCTTAGCTTGCCTCTCCTATCTTGGAATTCTGCCTTACAAGTGGGCTGGAGTGAAGGTGATCAGGATCTCAGGATTCTTGGCCTGCCATTCCTGGGGTAGAGTCTCTATACAATGGATGGGAGATGGCTAGAGGGGAGTTCCTGACCTCTTATGCACACATATCAGCAATTTAGCCTTTTCAACTTTGAATTGGAAGGCGTGAGAAATGCTAGTGGCCTACCCACCTCCTGGTGAGATATCCTTGATTAGGTGCTAAGGGGAGAGAAGCCCATTCTTCCTAGCCAAGCCACCCAAAGTGGAGCTGCTTTTAAGTTGAGCTGAGCTGGGAGGACGGAGCAGGTGGTGGCTGAAATGTCACAAGACTCAATATTCTTACCAAATTTGAATAGATTTTCTTGAATAAATGTTTCTTTATTTGCTGTATGCCTTTAGGATAATTTCCCAAGAATTTAAATGGTTGGTTTTTTAAATAATTTTCACCCACTTTGCCTGTTTTACTAAGGAATGGGTCTATGTAGCCTCCTTGTGCTGGCATCCAAAAGTCCCAGAATTTTTAAACTAGAAAGAAATCCTTAATTTTTAGATCTGCAGTGTTATCCTATAGGCCAGTGCTTCTTAGACATTGATATGCACATGAATAGGAATTTTATTAAGTAGATTCTTACTCAGTGAGGCCTGAGATTTTGCATTTCTTAGAAGCTCCCAGGTAAATTTAGTGCTGCTGTTCCATGGACCACATAGAAATAGCAAGGCTATAGATGACTTAGTTTTTCTTTTTGTTGTGTCAATAGTAATTTATTTAGTATTATGTAGTTTGGTTATCAGACATCTCTCACCAAGTAACATTTTTTAAACATCCACTGTATTTTGATAAAATTGATCTCATGTTATTTTCTCACCCTTATCCCTAGTCAAATTGTCAGCTTTTCTCTTGTCCCTAGCATTACTTTTCTCCTACATTAATGATTTTACAATCACCTGGCATATTTTCTGGCTTATAGAAAGGATTCTATAGATACAGATGCTCCTTGACTTAGGATAGCATACCCATCATAAGTTGAAAATATAACTTGAGAATGCATTTAATGTGCCTAACCTATTGAACATCAGAGCTTAGCCTATTTTAAACATACTCAGAACACTTAAATGAGCCTACAGTTCGGCAAAATAATCCAACACAAATTCTATTTTATAATATAGTGCTGACTATCTCATGTAATTTATTGAATACTATACTGAAGGACAATTTCTGCTGAATGCATGTCACTTCCCTGAACCATCATTTAAGACGAACCATCATTAAGTCAAGAACTATCTGTGTTTGTTAAATAATAGAGTGAATCCTCCATCGTCCCACTTTCTCCCAAGTATTTTCCCCCCATATTCTGTTTATCTTTTTAGTACTTAGATCACCTGCTATATATATATTTCTTTTTTGTAGGAATAACCTACATCATTACCTAGAGTAGACCCCCATCATCTTAGCCCTGCATATTGTAATTGCTTTACTTTAATTCCTACTTTAACAGTTGATATATTTTTTATTCCATGCTAAAATAGCTACCAAATTAACCTTTTTTTGATGACATTTTCATCACTTTGTGCTAATAAATATTCAGTAGCTCCTCACTGTCTACTACAAATGATTTTAAAATGGGCATTATAGCCTCATAAAATTGGCCCCTCTACCTATTCAGTCTCCTCTTTAGCATATAGTACTTATTCATCTTAGTAGTTTTCCATACCTTTCCTAAGATCAATGTTTCAATCCTTTCTAATCATCCATCCAAATTGTATCCTGCATTCATTTTATTCTTACATTACTGATGTTTATTGTGTTATCAGATTTTTTGTCAGAGCCATACTCAAGCCTCTTTTTTGCTATGTTAGTTATTTCTTTCCTGTGTAAAAACTTCTAGTATTAATAGGTTCCACTTACTTTGAACCATAAATTTCCATAAGCTTTTTTTGTTTTTGAAATTTTATTAAAATGTTTCTAACCCTCTGTTTTTTGTGATTTTTTTTTTTTTTTTATAATTAGAAGACATTCCAAGTCAGCCCCAAATTATTGTGGTACCAGTTCCTGTTCCAGTGTTTGTGCCCATACCCCTTCATCTTTACACTCAGTATGCTCCGGTCCCATTTGGAATTCCAGTTCCAGTGAGTAGTAATTTAGAGATTAAGTCTAATTTAACATACATTTTCCTCCACTAAAATGTTATAGCTCTGTGAAGAAACTTTTCACTTGTTAGTAAAATATTCCTAATTCTGGTTGTCTGGTACCATATTACCATTATTACTTAATGTGGAATATATATATTATTTGTACCCTGCCTTTTCAGAAGATTATGGTGTAGCTTTTTAAACATAGTTACATACGCAATAAGAACACTCAAATAGAAAAAGATCAGAAACTGTGTATGTTAGAATCCTGGGTTTTAGCAAGAATGAAAAGAAGAATATTGTCATTTATATTATTCTCACTTTTTATTAAAGAAAAATGGATTTTTTTTTTTTTTTGAGACAGAGTGTCGCTTGTTGACCAGGCTAGAGTGAGTGCCATGGCGTCAGCCTAGCTCACAGCAACCTCAAACTCCTGGGCTCAAGTAATCCTTCTGCCTCAGCCTCCCGAGTAGCTGGGACTACAGGCATGCGCCACCATGCCCGGCTAACTTTATATATATATTAGTTGGCCAATTAATTTCTTTCTATTTATAGTAGAGACAGGGTCTTGCTCTTGCTCAGGCTGGTTTGAACTCCTGACCTCGAGCAATCCGGCCCGCCTCAGCCTCCCAGAGTGCTAGGATTACAGGCGTGAGCCACTGCGCCCGGCTGGATTTTTTTTTTGAAATTTATTTTTTCCTGGTTCTGAATTCTTAAGGGAAACAGTTGTGAGAAAACATTAAGTGAGAAATATAATCTAAAGTAACAAAAACTAAAGGAAAATGTATTACGGAATTATTCTTTTAGGGGATTTAGAGACATACTTTGTTGAGTATCCAGAAAAGCACTTACTGAATTTTTATTTAAATGGCTCTAATCTTATAAAAAGAAACTATCAAGACTATTTTAATCATCAGCAATGATAATATCTTAAATTTGTTTTATTAATACTTAAATCATCTCACAAATAATGCTTTTGGCAAGAAACCTATTGCCTAGGAAATTTTTCAGTCTACCTTGATCTTTCAGATGCCTGTCCCAATGCTTGTTCCATCCTCAATGGATAATGAAGATAAAGTCACTGAGAGTATTGAAGACATTAAGGAAAAGCTTCCCACACATCCGTTTGAAGCTGATCTTCTTGAGATGGCAGAAATGATTGCAGAAGATGAAGAGAAGGAGAAGACTCTATCCCAGGGAGGTTGGTATAATCTTTAAATGCAAAGAAAGAAAAAGCACATGCAGATTTTTAGGTAACTCAAATAATTTTAAGTACCAGAAAGTCAAGTTGTTTTTAAAAGCTTCAGTGTGTTTAAATACCAAGCTTCTGGGGTTTATTAAACTTGTTGGTACTTCTAAAAGCTCTTAATTCTTATTATGAAGGTAAACTAAGTATTGTTATTTAATATAGCTTTTAGTTGTTAAATGATTCCAGAAAAATAACTGGAAAAATCAAAGTTTCATGATCATTTTCCAGTTTTATCCCTATATTCAAAGCCTTGGTCCCCACATATGAATTCCTGTTATATAACACTCAGCATAATGGTAGAGGATAAATAGAAACTTAGGATGGAAAACCATTTGGCTCAAAATAACCTACAGATAAATCCCATACTGTTAGTGAGGAATAACGATAATAACAATAGTTAACATTTATGTGTGCTTACTATACTCTTGTCATTGTCCTAAGTGCATTACGTGCATTGCTTCATTTTATCTTCACAACAACCCTATGATGTGGATGTGGGATACTGTTTACTTCAGGCTTCTCATTTGGAAAATAGGATATTAGACTTGCCCTCATTATGCAGTCAGGAAGTGATAGAACCAGAATGTGGATCCAAGTCTGACTCTAAAGTACATGATATTAACCAGGATCACTAATACATATTCTAGAAAGATTTCTAGCCTTAGTTAGCACTTCCTTGATCTTTGGATATAGGAAGAGGTAGAGAAAGTGGTGTTTAAGATAGTTGAAATATGTAGGTGAATTTTTACAAAGGCCTTTTCGTGTATCACTGATGAACTGAGAAATTACTCTTTTGACAGTTTTTTCTTTTATTCAGTTGTGAATTTTAAAAGGTGAATTTAAAGTTGTGAATTTAAAAAGGTAGCCACTGGGTTTTTGATTTTGCATAATAAATGCTAGATAATTTTCTGAATACTGTAGCATTTAATAGCTTTTCTAGTGTGTTGTAATACTTACATATATTCTGAAAGATTGGTAAAAGTTTATTATCCTAATGTTTGTTGTGTCATTTTGCTCTTTAATGTATAATCTCATAATTCTGACTCATTTATATGTAAAGTTTAACGTGTTCCTATGCTTGATTTCCTAACTTCTGTTACTGTATTTAATTCAAACAATTCTTGATGATAAACCTTATTTTAAGTTGGGTTCTCCATTCATATCAATACTTAATATTTATTAAGTGCTTCTGTACAAATGTTATGACTTTGCGTTTGCCTGCAATCAAGTGAGACAAAAACTTTCAAAACTAAATTTCAAGACAGGTAGTTGTAATCATTGTGGTATAGCTAAAGTCAAATGGGCTAGAAACAGAAGAGGAAGAAATGAATTCCAACTGAGAGTATCTGGCTCTTTGATTTTAGGGAAAAGTAGCAGTGTTTTCTGGATGAATTTTTTTTTCTATTTTGAATCCTTTAGGTTCTTATGTTTAAAGTATTTTATAATTGATAGAACCATGTTCTGTATAGTTCATGTGCTGATTGTTCATGTAACTTATATTCTAAGTCTACTGGCCTTTTGATGTAGTGGTAAAGATTATTATATTTTGGAGTGAAAAGCAGTTTAAAGCAGATTTGTCGATCTTTGAATAAATAAATACCAGAAGTTAAGGCCAGCCTGGGCAACATAGTGAGACCTTGTCTCTCTCTCTTTTTTTTCTATATATTTTTAGTTGGCCAATTAATTTCTTTCTATTTTTTTAGTGGAGACAGGGTCTCACTCTTGCTCAGGCTGGTCTCAAACTCCTGACCTTGAGTGATCCATCTGCCTCGTCCTCCCAGAGTGCTAGGATTACAGGTGTGAGCCACCATGCCTGGCCTTGACCTTGTCTCTTAAAAACAAAAAAAAGCATAAGAGTTTAAAAATAAACATATTTTTGACATGATTTCTTTCATATTGCTACTTAAAGTGTAGCCACTGTTAACAGTGGTGATCTAAGCGAATTTAGCATTAATGCCTAATTTTATTAATGAATTGTCCTTTCTGCATATGAAGTCTGTTTACTTAGAACTGTGTAGTATGATTGATGTATATAATGCAGTCATTTCATTTGAGATGTAATTTGTTGTGTATATTTATAAATTGTTTTATTATGTGCTTTTCTTTCTCTTTAGGGTCTCAAACTTCTGAACAGGAACTCTTTCTAGACACCAAGATATTTGAAAAAGGTTTGTAGTTATAAATATACTTTGTTTCTTAGAAATAACTACCATCTGTTAGTAAAAGAAACCCATAAAGTATTAATACCCTTAGATTTAATATTTGTAACTTTTAGTTGTTGGTATGATGTGTGCTGATTTGTAATGAGAGTAATAAAAGCTATCTCAAATATCTTAAGGATTAAAGAATACTTTTAAAGTGCTCACCAAGAATGTGAGTCCAGTTCTGTCAGACTGATGAACAAGTTAATTCTTAAGTGTACCTAGGTAATGATCCAAAAACTATATCTTAGTTTTTGGTATTCAGGGATTTAGGAAGGTTTCTGAGCGTGTCAAGAGACTGTCATATTTTCAGGACTTGTTTGTTACTGTATATTTCAGACCAAGGAAGTACATACAGTGGTGATCTTGAATCAGAGGCAGTATCCACTCCACATAGCTGGGAGGAAGAGCTGAATCATTATGCCTTAAAGTCAAATGCTGTGCAAGAGGCTGATTCAGAATTGAAGCAATTCTCAAAAGGGGAAACTGAACAGGATCTGGAAGCAGATTTTCCATCAGGTTTGTGCAAAGTACTTGTCCACTAAAAGTCCTGTATTTTACAAGATTGGTACAACTCTAGGGCACAAATGGTCCCTGCCTTTGTAGGTGTTAATTTATACTACATTGTTCTTACAAGTGGTTAAATTTGGTTTAAAAATTTTTTTTAACCTTTCCTACAGTAATCAATCAAACCAAAAGTTCTTGGTTTTCTTGATTGTTAATGAAGTTTCATTTAAGTACTATATCCTTGGTTTCTCTTAAGTATAGAAGTGAAATTCTTACTTTATCACAAACAAAATAATGGATATAGTGGTGATTACCTGATATTTCTTCCCCCAGTCTAAGTCTTTGTTTAAACTTGTGAGTTATTTACCTCACATTGTGCTTTCTGCTGATTATTATAGAATCCTTTGACCCACTTAATAAAGGACAGGGAAACCAGGCGCGTTCCCGAACAAGACGACGACACAGAGATGGCTTCCCCCAGCCTAGACGAAGAGTAAGCAGCAGCTTCATTTTCCTAGAATTTTTTTTCATTCATTCTACCAGTATTTATTATAATAGTTCCTACTGTTTACAAAACTCTGTAACAGCCAGAGTCAAGGAGCTCCATACATTATTTTGTAACTTTGTGTTTTTGTGCTTTTATTTTTGTTTCTTGAACTCAAGAACCTTGTCTTTTATTAACATTTCTTTCGATAGGGTCTTTTCCTTTTTCTTTTTTTGCAATAATTGAGGTTTTTTTTAATGTTAGAAAGCTTCTTATAATCCTTTTTTATCCTTTTTTTAAAAGTTTCTAAATTTAACTTTTTACATTATAATACTGAGGTTCTTCATGACCTAATGACCTCCCAAAAATTAAAAAAAAAAAAATACTGAGGTTCACTATGTTATATAGTGTACACTATTTTATATAGTACAGTATAATAGTGAAGTTGACATGGGATGTTTTTCATGTTGACAGGGCTTTCCCATACCAAAGTTGAAAGAATAATGGCTTTATTTTTTAATTAAATAATTAGCTCTATTGAGTTATAATTACATTAAAAAATTTGTAAATTCTAAGTGTATGATTTGATGGACCTCAACAAATGTATACAGTGTGTAACTGCCACCACAGACATGAACAGTTTCATTGTACCAAAAAGTTGTCTTATGACCTCTAGTGGTCAGCCCCTCCAGCTGCTGACAGCCACTGATAGATGCAAAATGGTACTGCTTTGCCTTTTCTAAAATTTCACATGAATGGAATCATATGATATATAGTCTTCTGTGTCTAGATTCTTTCACTTAGCATAATGTTTTTGAGATTCATCCATGTTGTTTCATGTCTCAGTAGTTGATTCATTTTTATTTCTGAGTAGCATCTCATTGTATGGACAAACACAATTGTTTAGCTGTTTATGTTTAACAGGTGATGGAAATCTGGGTTGTTTCCAGTTTGAGGCTTTTTTGAATAAAATTTATTGAACATATTATGAACATTCTAGTATAAATCTCTATATGAACATATGTTTTAATTTCTCTTAAAAAAAAGATCTAGGAATAGGATTGCTAGGTTTTATAGTAAGTGTATTTTTAACTTTATAAGAAAGCTGCCAGACTGTTTTCCAAAGAGTTTTCTTTCCAAAGTAAGTGTACCATTTCACATTCCCACCAGCAATGTATGAGAGTTGTCTGCTCCATGACTTCCATGATTTGCTAACACTTAGTATTGTTAATTTTTCATTTTAACTATTCTACTGAATGTGTAGTGGTATCTCATTGTGGCTTTAGTTGTGTTTCCCTAATGACTAATGATGTTGAGCATCTTTTTGTATGCATATTTGCTATTCATGTATTTTCTTTGGTAAAGTGTCTATTCGAATCTATTGCACATTTCTTCATTTGTTAATTGGGTTTGTTTTCATCTTACTGAGTTGTAAGTATTCTTTACTATGGATATAATTCCTTTATCACATAATTCTCACTTGATAAGAGCAAAATACATTTGTTGTAGTCCATCAAATTGTACACTTAGAACTTATAATTTTTAAATGTAATTATAACTCAGTAGAGCTAATTTTTAAAAAAGGAGTATTTTGTTACCTCCTTTTTATTTTCTTAATGATGAATAGTACATTTTAATTTTGAGAAATATTATCAATTTTAGTTATTTTATGGATCATGTCTTTTAATATCTTGTCTAAAAGTCTTTGTCTAATTCATACCTAAGCTATTCTCTTATATATTCTTCTAGAAGTTTTATAGCTTTGGCTTTTATGTTTGTGATCTATTTTGAGGTAATTTTCATGTATGAGTTGAAGCAAGGGTCAAGGTTCATTTTTTTGCATGTGGATATCCAATCATTCCAGCATTGCTCTTGGAAAAGACTATCCTTTCTCCATTGAATAACATTGGCAACCTTGGTAATAGTCAACCATATATGTGTGGGTCTGTTTCAGAAACTCTCCTTTGTGTTCCATTGATTTATATGTCTGTTTTTATACTAGTACCAACTGTCTTGATTACTATACCTTTTCAAGAGCCATGAAATTAGGAAGATAAATGCTTTAACTTTGTTCCCCTTTTTCTAAATTGTGATTTGTATGTCCATATAAACTTTAGAATCAGTGTGTTAGTTTCTACAAGAAAGCCTGCTGGAACTTTGATTGAGGCTGTCTTGAATCCATAGATCAGAAAATTGACATCTTAGCCAGTTTGAGTCATCTAATCCATGAATATATATGGTGCTTTCTCCTTTTATTTAAGTTATCTTCAACTTCTCTCAATAGTGGTTTTTGGTTTTTTTTGAGACAGAGTCTTGCTTTGTTGCCCAGGCTAGAGTGAGTGCCGTGGCGTCAGCCTCGCTCACAGCAACCTCAAACCCTGGCTCAGCAATCCTTCTGCTCAGCCTCCCGAGTAGCTAGGACTACAGGATGTGCCACCACCCCGGCTAATTTTTATATATATATATATATATTAGTTGGCCAATTAATTTCTTTCTATTTATAGTAGAGACAGGGTCTCGCTCTTGCTCAGGTTGGTTTCGAACTCCTGAGCTCAAACGATCCGCCCGCCTCGGCCTCCCAGAGAGTTAGGATTACAGGCGTGAAGCCACCCGTGCCCAGCCTCAATAATGTTTTATATGGTTCATTTTACAAGTCTCCTTATATTCTGTTACATTTATTTCATAAGTATTTAAAATATTTTGATGCTGTTGTAAATAGTATTATTTTCTAATTTCATTTTTCAGTGTTCCTCATTAGTACATAGAAATATAGGTGAAGGCCAGGCGCGGTGGCTCACGCCTGTAATCTTAGCTCTCTAGAGGCCGAGGCAGGTGGATTGTTTGAGCTCAGGAGTTCGAAACCAACCTGAGCAAGAGCGAGACCCCATCTCTACTATAAATAGAAAGAAATCAATTGGCCAACTAATATATATATAGAAAAAAATTAGCCGGGCATGGTGGCGCATGCCTGTAGTCCCAGCTACTCGGGAGGCTGAGGCAGCAGGATTGCTTGAGCCCAGGAGATTGAGGTTGCTGTGAGCTAGGCTGACGCCACGGCACTCACTCTAGCCTGGGCAACAAAGTGAGACTCTGTCTCAAAAAAAAAAAGAAATACAGGTGATTTTTTAATATTTACTTTATGTCCTATAACTTTGCTCAAATAAAATCCTTAGGATTTTCTATCTAGACAATCATATCTATAAATAAAGGCAGTTTGACTTTTTCCTTTCTAATCTGAATCCATTTTTTTTTTCTTGCTTCATTGAACTAGTTGAGATCTTCAGTACAATGTTGACTATTAATAGTGAGAACAGACTTTCTTGCCTTGTTACGAATCTTAAGGCAAAAGAATATCGTCCTGCAGCATTAGGTATGATGTTACTTTAGGTTTCTCATAGATAGCCTCTATCATGTTGAGAAACTTCCTTTCTACTCAATATTTGCTGAAAGTCTTTTTTTTTTTTTATCATGTTTAAGTATTGAACTTTGTCAGGTAGATTTCTGGCATTATTGAGATGATTATCTGGCTTTCCTTTTTTTTTTTTTTTTTTTTTTTTTTGAGACAGAGTCTCGCTTTGTTGTCCAGGCTAGAGTGAGTGCCGTGCCGTCAGCCTAAGCTCAACAGCAACCTCAAACTCCTGGCTCCAAGCAATCCTGCTTGCCTCAGCCTCCCCGAGTAGCTGGGACTACAGGCATGCGCCACTATGCCCGCTAATTTTTTATATATATATATCAGTTGCCAATTAATTTCTTTCTATTTATAGTAAAGACGGGGTCCGCCTTGCTCAGGCTGGTTTTGAACTCCTGACCTTGAGCAAATCCGCCCGCCTCGGCCTCCCAAGAGCTAGGATTACAGGCGTGAGCCACAGCGCCCGGCCTGGCTTTCCTTTTTTAAGTCTGATAAAATGGTGAAACCTTTTGATTATTTCCAAATGATTAACTGACCTTGTATTATTTGAATAACCCTACTTTTTTATGATATATTTATTATTTTTTTATATTGCTGGATTTAGTTTGCTGATATTTTAAGATTTTAAGTGTCTGTGTTCAAGAGTAGTATTTATCTATAGTTTTCTTGTAATGACTTTATCTGGTTTGTTATCAGGGTAATGGTAACATCATAAAATAAGTATTTTCCTTTTTTATTTTCTGAAATATAATTTACATTATTTCTTTAACTGTGATAGAATTCAACAGTGAAGCCATCTGGGTCTGAAGTTTTTTATGGGAAGGTTTTAAACCATAAGTTCTATTTCTGTGGCTATTCAGGTTATCTATTTCTTCTAGAGTAAGCTTTGAACAAATTTTCAGGAAATTTGTTCATTTCATCTAGGTTGTCAAATGTATTGGCATAGTGATATTTACAGTATTCCCTTATTATCTTCTTTATGTCTTCAGGATCAGCTATTGGTAATTTGTGTTTTCTCTCCTTTTTTCCTGGTCATTCTAGCTGGAGATTTATCATCTTTTAAAAATCTTTTAAAAGAAATTTTCTTTTATTAATTTATTAATTTTTTTGTCTTTTTTTCCTATTGATTTTTGTTCTTTTAGAAATTATTTCCTTCTTTATCCTTGGTTTGGGTTTAAATTTGCTTTCTTTTTCTAAGTTTTTCTGTCCTGGTGTGGTGGCTCCCGCCTATAATCCTAGCACTCTGGGAGGCTGAGGCAGGAGGATCGCTCAAGGTCAGGAGTTCGAGACCATCCTGATCAAGAGCGAGACCCCCGTCTCTACTGAAAAAATAGAAAGAAATTAATTGGCCAACTAAAAATATATGGAAAAAAGAATTAGCAGGCATTGATGGCACATGCCTGTAGTCCCAGCTACTCGGGAGGCTGAGGCCGAAGGACTGCTTGAGCCCCCAGGAGTTTGAGGTTGCTGTGAGCTAGGCTGACGCCAGGGCACTCTAGCTCGGCCAACAGAGTGAGAGACTCTGTCTCAAAAAAAATTTTTTTTTTCTCCTTATAGCATTTTAATAGTGGAAATGTCCCTCCAAGTATTACTTTAGCTCCATCACAGAAATTTTAGTATACTTTTGTTTTCATTTTCAAAGTTCAAAATATTTTCTGATTGTATTTATGGTTTCTTTGACTCAGAGAGCTGTTTAATTTAGGATATTGGAGGGGTTTTTTGGACATCTTTTCATCACTGGTTTCTAATTTAATTCCATTATAGTTAGAATTTATTGAGGCTTATTATAGCCCAGAATGTTATCTGGGCTATAATATGTCATCTATGTCATCTATTTGTATGACATTTATAAATGTCATCTATTTGTATGTGCCATTAAATAGACCTGAGTGATAATAACAATTATCCTGACTTCATTGGGTGGATCTAGTATCTGGAACATACCCAAATGTTTGTTTGGGTTTTTTTGGTTTGTTTGTTTGTTTTGTTTTGTTTTGTTTTTGAGACAGAGTGTCATTCACCTGTTGCCCTGAGTAGAGTGCTAAGTTGTCAGCCTAGCTCACAGCAACCTCAAACTCCTGGGCTGAAACGATCCTCCTGCCTCAGCCTCCCAAGTAGCTGGGACTACAGGTGCACACCACAACACCTGGCTAATTTTTATGTTTAGTAGAGATAGGGTCTTGTTCTTGCTCAGGTTGGTCTTGAACACCTGAGCTCAAGCAATTCCCACCTTGGCCTCCGAGAGTGCTAGGATTACAGATGTGAGCCACGGCGCCCAGCTCATACCCAAATGTTTGTAATCCCTCAACAGCTGTACCTGTGTGCAGGTCGTTGGCCTCTGCCAGCCCGCGATGCCATGCAACAACCTATCCTAACCTCAAAGCATGCAGCACTGTGCCCCTACTGGGGAGTGCTACAACCCCAGTGCAAGGTGAGAGTGGGAGCCTGCTAGTGAGTGGACTGAGTGGCCGTGCAGGGTGGGGACAGGCAGCCCAGGCCCAGGGAGTGCAGGCCTCACTGACCTCTGATTACTACAGTCTTTCCTATGTTTAAGCTTTTTTTCATTCCTCCTCCTATGGATTGGATCTAATCTCTAAAACCCTTTCTAGCTCTGAGAACTTTGAATCTTTAGGATATTAAACTAAATTGCATATTCCATAAATTAATGCCCTTTCCAGCTTTGAGATCCCTGATTCTTAAAGATTCAAAACTAAATTTTATATTCTGTAAATTTTTGGAATTCTTACAGGGACGGAAGAAGTCTATAGTGGCTGTGGAGCCTAGGAGTCTAATTCAAGGAGCCTTTCAAGGGTGCTCAGTGTCTGGGATGACACTGAAATACATGTATGGGGTAAATGCCTGGAAGAACTGGGTTCAGTGGAAAAATGCCAAGGAAGAACAGGGGGATCTAAAATGTGGAGGTAAATACACAGCATGGATTTGTGTCTTGATTTAGGTGGGGAGAGACAGAGATAAATAAAATCATAAATGTATTCAAAAGGGATAAATTTTAGGTAAACTTAAAATTTGATTTTATTTAAACTTTCATTTAAACTGTTTGTTTATTTTTATTTCCCTGTCAGGAGTTGAACATGCCTCATCTAGCCCATGTTCCGACCCCTTAGGAAGTGCTCAAGACCATGCACTCTCTCAAGAATCCTCAGAGCCAGGTTGTAGAGGTAAAACTTGTTTCTCTCCATTTTGTATGAGTTATTTATGATATTACTGATTTAAATTTGTAAATTGAATATTTAAAATTATTTAAAATTTGGAGTCTTAAGGTTAGAAAGAGAAATTAATATCCTCAATTTTAAAGATGTTATAAAAGGTCTTCGGATCATGAGTTTACTGTGCACATATAAGAAATTTTGTTTCATTTCTAACTATGCAAGTGGCTCAGAATATGTCTTCGTGAGCCCTATGTCTTATAATAACTCATATGAAACCTAGTGTGAAATTTTCTTTTTTGAGAAAAATACCTGGAAAAGCCTTGCTTCCGGAACCTGTAGGAATTTTCCCTAACAGTGTGATTTGTATAACTGACAATGTTTATGGGTTTTACTTAAGGTGCCAGGAAATTTGGAATCAAATAAACATTTCAAGTAAAGCAACAGTGTATATATTTTAAGGCCTACATTAGTTTTCATTTTTTGTTCTTTTGACATCCAGTTCTAAATTTTTGTTTCAATTTATCTTTTTCGTTATCTGTGTTTTATGTAAAATATGTATACAGTCTTTTTGGAATGAGATGGTGCAAGTATGGATGAGTATGTCCATGTAACTAGATTTTTTGCCACTTTCCGACTATATACCTTCTCTCATACACCTGGCTGATTGTATGTGCTCTTGGCTTCACCTCAGTCGACCCCTGCTGGATTTTGGGTACATGTAACCTCCTTATTGCAGCAGTTAATCATTGCTCTGGACTGTGACTGACTCAAGTTCCTGCAGATCAAGTATAATCTCTGTGCTCCAAGGTTGTGTAAATATATCCCTGTTATGGAAGCTTATTAGGCTCCTAACCACTCACTTTGAGCCTCAGACTACCTACCCATTTCTATTATTCATCCAGAAAATGGTTACAGAATATCCATTATGTGACAGGTATGGTGCTAGATACTGGGATGAAAAGGTCAGACATAGTCTTTGCTCTCATGAGATACCACTTGCCATGTGCAAAACCAACTCAGGGGAGCCCAGGTGTGTGCAATCTTGTGTAAATGCAGAAGAGCAATGACTTGAAGAGTGTTTTACTTCTGACCCCACAATGTTGATCAAACTATTGCAGTAGGACCTTTACAAATCAAATTGAATAACTCCACTACTCAAAATTAATTCAGTTCTTCATTGTCTTCCAAATCTTAATATGATATATGAGGCTAATTGGTGATTTGCCTCTGCCTGTCCTTGCTTTTTTTCCTGTACACCTGAGTCCCTGAACCTTTTCACTTTTGTGGTCTAGCATTTCCAAGGCATGAGGATGTTATATGTTATTTGAAGTGTTCTATATTCAAATAAATCTGAGCTAAAGAAAGTTAAACAGCATTCTTTTTACAGATATTCACAGAGCCTTTATGTACCATCAGGTACTATAAATTCTTCAGAGATGAATATAGTATCTTATGTTTTCCAAATTTATCAGATCATAGAAATTCAGTTTTCTCTAGCTCTGACATTAGTGTTTTGTGGAATAGACTTTGGGAAATCTTTATCCTCAGATTGGAATTCTTTACCTATCTACTTGTTTAACTCTTTGTCACATTTTAAGGTCTAGCACCAGTGTTATACCCTCCAAATCTAACTCTTCCCTATTAGCTATCTCTCATTTGCTTTCATAGAATCCTGTTTATAGATAACCTCTATCATAGCACCTATTGTACTATGTGCACTGCATTGTCTTTATTTCCTTAACTGAAATAGCCTTGAGATAACAGTTTGTCTTTAATGTATGTATCCACCACTTGATAATGCCTGGGGCACAGTAATATTGAATTATTCAGTGAATCAAGTAATATTATTATTACATGCTTGTTATAAGTTAATATTTCAGTTGTTTTCTACCTTTCTACCAGTCCGCTCTGTCAAGCTGAAGGAAGATATTCTGTCCTGCACTTTTGCTGAGTTGAGTTTGGGTTTATGCCAGTTTATCCAAGAGGTGCGGAGACCAAATGGTGAAAAATATGATCCAGACAGTATCTTATACTTGTGCCTTGGAATTCAGCAGGTATCAAATTAAACAATTATTATAAAATTAATTGCATTTTTAATGAGAGAACATGTGAATTAAGCTGAAAAATTATTAATATATTTGGTATTGCTTTTATACTCTCTTCTTTTTTTTTTTTTTTTTAAGGTACATTTCAGAAGTGAATATACTCTCTTCTTAATGAACCACTGTCCCTGATTTAAAAGTCTTTATTAGCCTGAGCTACATAGTGAGACTTCATCACTACAAAAATAGAAAAACTAGCCAGGTGTGGTGGTATGCACCTGTAGTCCTAGCTGCTCGAGAGGCTGAGGCAGGAAGATTGGCTTGAATCTAGGAATTTGAAGTTGCAGTGAGCTATAATGACACCACTGCACTCTAGCCCAGGCAACAGAGGAAACCTTATCTCAAAAAAAAATAATCTTGATCATATAGCTTTTTGTAAGCTAAATTGAGACTTTTAATAGAATAACAGAAATTGGGGATTAAAAAAAAGAAATTGGGGATGGTGTATTTTATAGGTAAGTGGACAAAAAGGGCATAAATAGCAATTCACAAAAGAAATAATGTGGATGACTGCTGGTGTGTGTATATATGTGTGTAAGTGTGTGTGTATACGTATACATATGTATATGTATAAATCATGTAGTTTCATTTTAAAAATTCAAATTAAAATAATAGATACACCATTTTTTGTCTATCACATTAGCAAAGATCAAAAACTATAACACATTGTTGATAATAGTTCTGTGAGATGGAGCTTCTTCTACATAGCAGTTTAAGCATGTGTTTCAGGAATATTTTTAAATTTGCATATTTTTTTGCCAGTAATTCATCTTTTGCATATCTGGTCAAGTTAATACTCTGAAGTTCAGACATTATTGTGCAAAGTTTGATATAACCTCAATGCCCACCAAAGTGTGATGGTCAACTAAATTATAATATATTCATAAAATTGTATATTATGTAGCCAATAACAGTTATTCACAAAGTGGCTTCTAGTAACATAAAAATCTTAATATTAACGCATTAATGAACAGAATAAGGATATAAATGATATGTGTACCACTATGTTGACATAATAGTATAGATATCTAATAAAATGAAATATACAAAATGTTTATAAATGGTCATCATTTCTGGGTGTTAGAGCTCTGGATGTTGTTGATTTTCTTCCTTTCTCTCTTGTCAAATTTTCTTCCATTTATATGGTGATGTTGTTGTATTTTAGACATTTCTTTGTTCTTAAAGTTTTGGGTTTTAATCACAAAAGCGGTATGTGCTCATTGTAACTGTTAAAACAGTGAAGGCATATGAAGAAACTTTATCTCCTTCCATTCCTAGTCCCTGCGGTAGCCAGTGTTGTGGCATGATAGGTGTCCTCCTATGCCTTCTTCTGTTTTATACCTTTATACATGTGTATCTGTTTATTAATAGTTTTTGCTTTGCTTAGTTTTTAACAAAATGGGACCCATACCATACATATTTGTTTGCAGTTTGCTTTTCTCAATGGGGATATCTCTCCAGGCCAATGTAAATCAAACTCCTTTCTTTAAAAAATGTGTATAATACTGCAGAGTTTAAATATGCTGGTTATCATCCTTTTTTCTTTTAGATATTCAGGTTGTTTCTTTCTCTTTTTTATCCTTGCTCTTCTTTATCCCAGAGTATATTTAATTAAATTTAATAGATTTCAATTAAATCAGGATTTAATTTATTAGACTTAATTTACTCTTTTTCTGTGAATGACACATTCTGGTTCAATATACCAATATATATTCTTAATAATTAAAATATAGTTGCAAATTTTATATTTAAATGTAATAAATATTTTAAAAGCTATACTCTATATTTTTTTAAATTGTCAATTGACAGATTATAATTATATATTTATGGGCTACAAAGTGATGTTATGATTCATGGATACAATATAAAATAATTGAATCAAGTTAATTAATACATTTATTACCTCAAATACTTTTTGTGGTGAGAACATTTGAGATTTACGCTCTCAGAAATTTTGAAATGTACAATACGCTATTATTAACTATATTCACCATGCAGTGCAATAGATCTCTAGAAAAGCACACTGATTCCTTCTGTCTGAGGTTTTTTACCCTTTGACTATAATCTCCCCAGCACATACACAGAACCCCACCCCACACCCCACACCCGCCACCCAGATTCTGGTAACAACCATTCTCTCTCTGTTTCTATGAGTTCAATTGTTTTAGATTCCACATGTAAGTGAAAATATGCAGTATTTGTCTTTTTGTGCCTGACTTATTTCACTCACTCAGCATGATGTTCTCCATTTCTATCCATGTCACAGATGACAGAATTTCCTCCTTTCCTGAATAGCATTCCATTGTATATTTTTACCACATTATCTTTATCCACTCATCTGCTCATGGACACTTAGGTCAGTTCCATCACTTGGCTGTTGAATAGTGCTGTAATGAACATGAAAACACAGACATCTTCTTGACAAATTGATTTCAAATCTTTTGGATAAATACCCAGAAGTGAGATTACTAGATCATATGGTATTTCTCTCTATATATTTTTAGGAGCCTCCATACAGTTTTCCATAATGGCTGTACCAATTTACAGTGTACAAGTGTTTCCTTTTCTCTATATCTTTGCTCTGAAACACAACACTTCAGTAAACACTTTGTTTGCATACCGTATATGAATTGGTGCTTTAATTTCTAGATTAAAACATTTATTTTTTCCATATTAAAATATTTTCAGATTACTTTCCAAAATGGTTATAATGATTTATAGTCTTTTCAGCAGTGTGTATGAGTGCTCTTTAGCACTTCTCTTTTTAATTTTTGTTACTCTAATGGATAAAAAAAATCAACTTGTGCCCTCATTTTGCACTTTAAATTTTTGTAAAGTCAAATGTCTTTTTATCTTGTTTGTCATTTGGATTTTTTCCTTTCTATCTGTAAGATCTCTTTTTACATAGGGGATGTTAACTCTAATATAAGTGTTTTGAAGTAAATTTTTCTGGCATGTTTTTTTTTTTATTTTTCTGGCATGTTTTTATCTTTCAGTTTTTATGTTGTATTTTGCCATTCAAAAGTTTCCTTTATAGTTACTGGGTTTTCTGTGTTGCTGGTAAGGTCTTTCTACTTGAATACTTAAATTTAAATTCTCATAAATTTCTAAAATACTGGTGTTTTTAGATTGATATCTTTAATCCATCTGAAATTCATTTTTATACATGATACAAGATCTGATGAACAATATTTCTGATGGGTAGCCAGTTACACAAGCAGCATTGATTTCCCCATGGAAGTGAAACGGCACCTTTGTTGTAATTTCCTATTATATTTTGATCCAAAGGATTTTTTAAATGAAGAAATGAGAAGATTTTTATAGTTTCTTTCAAGAAAAATTTATTGAGTGCCTAGTATGAACCATGCATGCATTTTGCTTAGGTAAATTTTCAAGGATGCCTATGCTCTTGAATATTGTAATACCGTATTACAGATTTAAAGAAAATTTTATCAGTACAGACGTTAAGAAATAAGATGTTTTCTGGTGGTAAAATACTGCATGGTCATTGAAGTGATTTTAATCAAAAACATTTGAGTACTTTATATGCCATATACTCTCCTATCTATAAAATATACTTTAATTTGTGAGCTAAATTGTAAGCCTGTGAAAGTTTTTTCTAGTGTATTTATCTTGTTTATTGTTTATATTAGTAAAAACCTTTATATAACAATACTATTAAAAAGAGGCCTAAGTTAACAAATAATTGTCAAATGATCATTATAATTAAATATTATGAACCCTTTATGAATTTTGGCAAAAAAATAAATTTTCCTTAATGCAAGAAATTTTAAAAGACTGCTTATGTTGACATCTTAAACTTGCTTGTTTTTATTTTTTCTGATTATAAAAACAATTATGCTAGTTGTAAGAAATTTTGAAAATATAGAAAAGTACAAAGAAGGCTGGACGCTAGCACTCTGGGAGGCCAAGGCAGGTGGATTGCTCAAGGTCAGGAGTTCAAAACCAGCCTGAGCAAGAGCAAGACCCCGTCTCTGCTATAAATACAAAGAAATTAATTGGCCAACTAATATATATAGAAAAAATCAGCTGGGCATGGTGGCGCATGCCTGTAGTCCCAGCTACTCGGGAGGCTGAAGCAGGAGGATTGCTTGAGCCCAGGAGTTTGAGGTTGCTCTGAGCTAGGCTGACACCACGGCACTCACTCTAGCCTGACAACAAAGCGAGACTCTGTCTCAAAAAAAAAAAAAAAGAAAGAAAGAAAAGTACAAAGAAAGGAACTGGACTTAACTGTAATATCAATACCTTACCCAACACTGCTATAACATAAACAGAGAAAAAGGAGTCAGTGAAGGAAAGCTGCTAAACAACAACAAAATCATTTCTTATGTATGTTTCTATAGCCTGTTCTTTTTACTTAATGATATATCATGATCATCTTTGAATCATGACTTACAATACATTGATGATGTCATTTATTCTATCAATCTCCCTTAAGATTTTTTTTTTCTGTGATTAACAGTGGTCTGTTGAATATCTTTTTTTTTTTTTTTATTTCGGCATATTATGGGGGTACAGATTTTAAGGTTTCAATAAATGCCCATTTCCCCCCTCCCCCCAAAAGTCTGAGTCTTGAATATCTTTTTATACAAATGTTTTTACACTGGCTAATTATTTCTTTTTAGTATAAATTCCTGAAAGCGGAATCTCTGGGGCAAAGACATAAACTGTTTTTATTTTAGGTTTTTACTACATATTGCCAGATTGCTCTCAATAAGAATTAAGACAATTGATATTCCCATTGTCAGTCTGTTTGCCACATCTTCACCCAACCCGAGAGTGTTTACTTAGTTCATAGTATTACTATACATAACCAAGATTTACTAACCATCATGTATGAAAAGCACCTATAAATCAATAAAATTGTACAATAATGGAGAAAAAATGGCAAAAGATACAAATAGTCAAGTAACAGAAGAAAAACCACAGAT